ATTGAGAATAGAGCCCATTCGGTCTTCTGCTTTTGGTAGTACCTGACTTTCTTCCTGGAAACAGAGATTGCTTGGAAAAGGATCATGCTGTTGCTTTCGTAAATTACCGGGGCCTTCAGAAGTCAAAAAGCTGGAACCTATCTCTACGTGCACTTGGGCACTCTTCTATAAATTGGGGCAATTGAGAGAGTATTGCTGCCTCTGTCCTCACTTCACCCTCAGAGATATGTAAGTTCATGCAGAACTCCAAATTGCAGGCAATGACTGGTTGACAATTACCAAGTGTTGGCTGTGACATGCTATATCCTGAAAAGCTCTACCCTGGATTAACAAGCTATGAATAACATAAACTGAAAGAAAGCTAGAAAGAGTGTTACTGATATACTATTGATTATTTTATTGCATTGCATGGGGTCCTAGAGAACCAGAAGTAATCTTCAGGAAAACCAAGATTTGATGAAAACATGAAGACGGAGTGAACTCAAGGCTGTTACTATGTGCCCACTCTCTCAAGGTAGACTTTGGAAGGAAAGTTGCTCACTATGAGATTAAAGAGCAGAAGAAACTATATGCACACTGATATTATCTGGATGCTTTTATTCCCAGATTTTTATGTAAATTTTTGGTGCTGCAAAAGAAGTAGCACTCTAATATAAATTTCCTCAACAAGGCAATTAACTTCTGTAGAAGGGTGTGGCTCACAGATGGAACAATGGTGAGCACACACATTGACAAGAAAGGAGAAGGAGTCCTTATTCCTGACAAAGGTAGTCTCTACTGCTGTGTTGTTCCCCTATTGGGTAGGGTTAGACCACACAGTCTAGCTAAAATTCCAATTGCCTATTTTAAAGAGAGCTAGGGTACGAGTCAAAGTGGTGGGGCGGGGAGTTTGGTGGGAAGGATGGTTATGGGAGAAGTACTGGGGTAATTCAGGTCAAAGCAGGTGACCAGAGCAGGTGGCTGGAGCACGTGACTGGAGCAGTGACCAGGGAACAGATGTGACCTACTGATTAGAACTGGTGGAAAAGTTTGTTTACCAAAACTACAAAGAAGTCAAACTTTAAAATGGAGAATTAAAGAATAAGAGAGCTGAACATACTCTTCTTTGAAGAGACACTTGGAGTTCACTATATCTAACACAGATAAGAGAAAAGATAAAATATTTAGTTAAACAGGGAGTTCTTTTATGTAGCAATTTGCACACACACACACACACAATCAGAACTGCAGATGCTAAAAACGTGGAGGTTAAAAACAATAAAAAAGAATATGTACCAGCATAAAAGATATCCTTAGAGGATAACAGTGATTAGTATTACTGTCATCAATAAGAGCATGAAAAAAATAATGAATATAGGAATTTAGGAAGCAGTAAGACAAAAACATAAAGAAAACAGATGAATGGGATTAGATTAAAGCAAATTATTTAGAAATCAGAAAAATTTAGTTGATAAATTCAATAACTCTTTCTTTAAAGAGATAAATAATAAATACTTATTTTATTTCACCAAACATTATCAAGATAAAAAATAGAGAAAACTAAATTTAACTATGACCTTAGATATTATGAATAAATTCAAAATTCAATTTAGAGAAAACAGACTTACAGTGTAGTTCTTGTTAATAATTTGGAAAATTTATGTGAAACAGAATTCTTCAAATATTACCGAATTTATCTAAAAAACAGAGCTCTTGAATAGGTTTCAATTTCATAGACATCAAAAACATTTTACAAATATCATTAAAATAGGTGGTTTTGCTGAAAAATTCTATCAAAACTTAAAGGAAGAGAATATTCATTGCTTATGCAGTTTTTGAACTACGTAAACTCAGAAATCCTCAAAGTGCAATTTATGAATCTAACCTAACTATGAAATTTGACCAAAATAACACAAAGAGTACTTCTGAATTGCAATTTAATTTAGGACACCTATCTTAAGTAATGGCAAATTATATTTAATAAAATGGTAAAATAATAGCACAGCATGACAAAGTAAAGTAAGAAGGTTTTATTTCTCAGAATGTAGACAGTGTGGAACAGATTCTCAGCTAATCCCCACAAATTTGGTGGCTGTGGTTTTAAATTACCGAGGTGTTATGGGTATTTGTTACTGTAGAAAAACCTAGCCTATCTTATATATGTAATATCCAATAAAAAACTCTTTTAATAAAGTTACAGTTCATCAGCTAGAACTGTAACGTTATCTTCTAATGTCCAAGAGGTATTTTCTAAAATCAAAGAGATATTTTCCAATATACAAAAAAAGCTATAAAATAAAGTTACAAGAACAGAAAATGAAATACCGCATATTCTCACTCATAGGCGGGTGATGAAAAATGAGAACACATGGACACAGGGAAGGGAGTACCAAACACTGGAGTCTATTGGGGGGAAGAGGGGAGGGACAGTGAGGGGGGAGCTGGGGTGGGATAGCCTGGGGAGAAATGCCAAATGTGGGTGAAGGGGAGGAAGGCAGCAAAACACACTGCCATGTGTGTACCTATGCAAATGTCTTGCATTTTCTGTACATGTACCCCAAAACCTAAAATGCAATAAAAATAAAATAAAATAAAGTTACAGTTCTAATGTTTTATTATATAGTTTTCTACTGGATATTATAACATACATATATATATATGGCAACCTAACATAGTCACAACATCCAACATATGACTACTAGACTTGTCCTGCTTTACAGGGTATTTCAAAAAAGAAGGAATGTGATTGGAAAGAAAACTAACTGATTCCTCACTACAAAAACTTGAGAAGTACTAATGCAGAGTAGATATAGGGTATTGCCAAAGCCTTTTCTCACAACGAATGGGAAACCTGGCTGAGCCCCTCACATACCTCTAATTATGGAGTAAATCTCAGCAGTAGCCTGGATCCCTATGGTAAATAACACAATTTTAGCAGTAAAATGGAAATCATAAAGACATTTCGCTCCTCAAATTCTGTCAGAGAATACTGAGAAGACATTCACTACGAATAAAAATGTGCATATTTGCCAAGGCTGATAATATATTGTCTGCATTATCACAGAAACAGAATCACAAAGTTTTATAACTAGGTAACACTGTACACAGTCTCCTGTAAACATTTCATAGAGACAAAAGCATTTAAAAGGAGCATTGTGGTTAGGTAATTCTAAAAGTTACTTCTGTGTATGTTTAGGGTACCATAGGGAAATTTCAAACTTAAAATTCATCTAGTCAACTATGTGCATTGTATATGCTTTACAGGTAGATGATATCCTGTGTTTATAAGAGTTGTTGACAGATTCACAGCTCACATACAAAAATGAGTGGTAGGGGCCATGCTAACAAATGCCATCAATCTGTGAGACACAGATGCAAAGACAAAGTATTTCATGTAGGCATGCAGTGCATAGTTGTCAATCTTGGAAAAAAGTATTTTACTACTTTCTTCTGGTATATGGGACTAATTAGAGAACAATGATGTGTAATGTGTATGCAATGACCCCTAATGCTCATCAAAACCCAGTTACCAGGATGTGGAATGGGAATAGAGGTAGATATCATCATGTGTGTAATTGCATATGATTGTTTTATTATGCTCATTAATGTATATGCTTCCTTTTCCTCTGTCTTTGTGCCAAGCCTCTCTTCCTTCTTTTCTTTGCCAACATCTTCTTTTTTAGTATGGTTGGCATCCATTCTGCTGTGGTTCATCACAGATACAGTTAGATTTTCAATTATGTTTCACAAAAATGCAAATCATCTTAAAGAAGCCTTTAACATAATATGTTTGCATATACACATACATATATAGTACAATCTAATACACAGATTGTGTCAGGTTTATGTACTATTGAACTACTATACTGATGAACCACAGGACTGTTGAAAAGGCCTGTGATCCCATTTGGTTATTTAAAAATATATCCATAGATTATTGATACTCTTCCCTTTAGAAGGTGAATTGTGATTCCCCCTCTAAAAAATGTATGTTATCTTTTGTAACTCACTCTTAAGGAATAGAATGTGACAGAAGAATGAATTGTGATGTCTAAGATTAGGACATAAATACACCATGTCTTTCTCCTCACTCTTTTGGAAAATTTGCCAGGTGCCTTTTATGAGGATACTCAAACAGTCCCATAGAAAGGTCTGATAATAAAGAACCCTATAGCAAAGTACAGAGCAAGGAACTGGAGCCTCAAACTAACAGCCGTATGGGTTAGCTATCTTGGGAGCAAATCCTTTAGCAACAGTCAAACCTTCAAATGACAGCAGCCCTGGCCAATCACTTGACTAAAACCTCCTAAAAGACCCTGAGCCAGACCCACCTAGCTAGGAAATTCTTGGATGCTTGACCCCGAAAAACTGAGAAAATAAATTTGTTTTAAGCTGCTATGTTCTGGGTTAATTTTTCATGCAGCAATAGATAACTGATATGCCCATGCCACCTTACATAATTTAATTGGAGAGTTACTGAGTCTATTCCATCCAGGTTGGCTAAGCCATTACTGTGCATTTGAATAAACAGAAAGGAGAGATGCACTGTGATGGCAAGTACCACTTGACATTAAAAATCACTCAGACACATGCGATAGGTTCTGCCTGCAGTGGCAATTTATTTTGTAATTCATTGTACATTCAGCAGAGTTCAAGACATAAATATAAATGCTAGGGCAACTCTTTAATTTAGTTATTGAGTCTTGAACACCTGTATGTATCAATATATATTACTGATACTGGTGATACAAAGATACTGAAACAAACATAATTGATCCCCTGCCTATGATTATTTAATTAAGAGATGTGTAAATTTAGGCACAGTATTTCTGTTTAGGATTATTTTTTAAAAATACCCTTACTATTAAATGAACAATAACTCCTTAAATTGAAAAATGGAAAGGTCATTCTGTCTCTCCTTTTTTTTCTCTTTCTGTGAGTGTGTGTGTGTGTCTGTGTGTGTGTTTGTAAATATGTGTGTTCAGGAGTTGTCTATTCAGTTTGTCATTTCCTGTTTCTAGTGGACATGATGTTGGAATTGCTTCAATGAAGAATCAAAAATGATAAATCAGAATGTTCAAGGCACTAAGAGTCAGATCTCTCAGCTGTTCTCCAATCTTGCCTGTGACTAGTCATGTGTCTTTGGGTGAGTCTCAAGTGTTTCTGAAAGTTCTTTATGTAGTAAGGCTGTGCCCCCTTTTCTTTGCCCTACAATTGTTACTCTGAGTAGGAAAGGGTGCTATTACACACAATTCCCACTAGTGTTCTGATTTCACAGCTGTGAGTTTGTTGCTTAAAAGTAAAGGTGCAGTTAATTATAAGTCTATGTGTTTTAAAGATCTTATTTCAATTGCTTCCTGTGCCCATACTCTTTCCACCCTTTTTGTTTCTCTTGATATGTGCAGTTGTTCCTCTCCTCTCCCTTTCTCTCCACCCAGTAGGATGGAAAAGTTAACTGATTTGTGCAGACATGCAGTCCTCAGTGACCTTACCCAACATCAAAAGAAAAGTGTTGACATTAATCATAAATTGGATTTCTGACCTTTAGTTTTTCTTCTTTAAAGGAGAATAATGTTTCCATGAGTCAATCAATCGCTACGAAAATAAAATATGCATTGTGAATTGCTTTTATTCATAGCATCGTGCCACGATATTATGAAAAATCTCATTTGTAGTTGCATAACTGATTATCTGTAAAATGTAATAGTGCTACTGGTGTCCATCATTTTAAAGTCTATGCCATATTTGAATATTACTCTTTACTATTACATTTACACATTTTTGCATAATTGCCATCGGGGTATGGAAAAAGTATTTTGCATGCTTTTATCACACAGCCTGATAACGTATTTTCCTTGTTTTCTATGTAATCTTAACTATGTTTTTATTAGTTGAATAAAATTTGTGTAGCTTGCATGTAGTAGATGACAACTCTGAACCTAGTGATCCAATTTTCAAAAATTAACAATCAAGGGCTAAAATATAAGGAGGCATAATAGGTTGCAGAAAAGAAACCATCAAATTTATAAGCAGAAAAAAAAAAGACAATCAGGGTCATATGCTTTCTCTCTAAGAAAAACCAACTGAGTCTGGAGAGAAACCTACAATGCAGATAATTGTATGCGTGGTAGTTTAGAAAGGGAATAACAGAGGCCAGGCTGATGTTATTTTTCTTTTCTATCAGGCAGATAGAGACTAAGGGAGTAGTCAGTGAACAATGGGTAGGAACCAGCAGGTTTATAAATTATACCTGGATGCCTCTCAAGCTCGCCTCTGACAGGAAATGACAAATGCTCATCGCTGAGTTACTTTTTACTGTGGAAAATCACTCATTTGCTTGACATGGCTCTCCCACCAAGGGGGCCTTCTGTTGTTATTCCTTTACAATTTAAAAATTTATAGTGAAATTAAATTCTATTATTTATTGTGGCTGTGTACTACCTTAAGCTACCATTAATCACAAAGGCAGAGAATACAAAGGAATGATTTCAATGCTGTATCTTTTGGGAACTGAAAAGAAGCAGGAAATCAAATACACAATTGGAAAGAACAGGGACTAGATAATGGCAAGAATAGAAGAACCGCCTATTTTGAGACCTTTTATGTTAACAGTGGTAAGAAATTACCCTGTAATTCAGAGCATAAGTATTGCATTTGTAATATGTTATTTTGGGAAACACAGCCAAAACTTCATTATGTCATGCTGTGTTATTTCTACAGCTGGTACTATTGTTGGCAAATGCTTTTTGAAAAAACTTAGTAAGACAAGGAAAATGCTCCAGTTGGCCTCATTACTAAGAAGTGATGTTTTCATTTGGACTTTTCACATAGTCTCCTGATCTCACTTGATTACATTGATAGGAAGAAATGCTTGGCTTGGAAGACCCCTTCGTTTATATAGACCTGAAGTCCACCAATTGCTTTTTCTGGTTTACATGCGTTGTCAGTGGCACTTGTGAAACATATCCACAGATTTCTTTACACTATTCCCATCATCAGGAGGTGTCTGTATCATCTCCCCCTTTAAAATGGACACATTTTACGATGTTTTTGAGCAAAAGAGAATGGCAGAATTGGCATAGCATCATGTGACTTCTTAGTTTCAGTCACACAAAGTCACTTCAGGTTCTGCATTTTTTGCTTGAATACTCACTCTTGAAAAATATTAGCTGCCAAGCAAGTAGTCTGATTGCATTTTTCTGTTGGCATCCTCTGAGGAAGCCTAAATCAATTAACACTGAGAGACTACATGGAAATAACACAGGTAAAGACTCTAGAACTGGCGGAGAGAGTTTTGCCCAGACGTCCCCAGCTGCTCTATCATTTCATATTTCTTATTCTATTATTGAATTACTGAATGAGAGTACCACATTTTCACCACCTTGTTAAGCTCTTTCTGAATTCCTGAAGATAACAGAATAAAATGACCTTGTTTTTGAAGTCAGATGGTGTGGAGCAATTTGCTATGCAGCAATAGTCAAACACTTACCGAACCTAAGGGAAATGAAGATGTTTCCTATATGGCAGGATAGGTGAGGACTGCACTTATATGTACATGGTTCCACCCCAAACAGTTACTCAGTAAATTGGAGCACTAGAAAAATTTTAAACTATACAAAAGTTTCATAAATAGAGGAAAACATCCATTCAAAATTCCATCCTTCTAGTGTAATGGGCATGAAATTATCCACAACACTTGAATTGTCTAAATCAACTTTGATTTGTTTAAATCAAATGAAATCTGTCTCCAACCATAAATAATTGGATTGGAAGAGTAGTCCAATCTCACTCAGTCTCTGCTTTTTCCCTGCTTTGGGTAATCCCAGCACCACAGATAGAGTGCATTGTTCTGAAAAGTTTCCCTTCTCAATCAGAAAAGGTCCTGAACCTTGCTGCTGGATACTGTATCTCTTCCTGTGCCTGCCCAGCTCTATGTAATGGAGATGCCATGGTGGGGTTGTACAACTCTCACTTCTATTTTTTTCCATTCTTCATGCCTCCTCCTTCTCCAAGGTGGCTGCCTTGAGATAAGGCCCTTTGTAGAACCCATAATCTTGATCTTCTTCTTCACAGTGCTGCTAATTTATTTTTTAAACTCAATATAACAAATATTCATGTTATTTTTTACTTCCATGATATCTTCTGAGGACGCATCTGGAAGGCCCATGACTAAGTTTAGGCCTTAGAAGCAAGAAGAGTGAAAAAGCCCCTTTTTAATAGAAACAAATCTAGTATAATACCGTTCTGTATAATTTCACCTAATAGTAATCATTTTATATTTTAACATTGATTTTATAATTAAAATTTATTCCACTATGTGTTAAGTAATTTTTAAAATTTATTATTTTTTTGTCTTGGTACAAAATTGTCTCACCTCAGTTTTGACTATTATCTTCATGTTATTGCCACCTTGTAATGAAATCTTGACTATTTTATAGAACTTTTTTTAAATTTTGTTGAAAAAAGCAAATAGAAAATATTATTGTGTTTTTTTCGTTTAGATCCAATTACCCAGCATTCAGTAATAGCTACCATTCTTAATTCTATATGCTAACATGTATACTTATGTATAAATATATTTTATGTATGCATGTGTATATATAACTTGTATTCATGTGTATATGCAAATCCAATATTTTGTATGTTATTGACACTATATTAAAAACAATTTATGACATCAAAATAATCATAAGTTTTTCAGTAATTTGATGATAGAAATAATTGCTATATTTTATTCATCAGTTGTCCAGTTCCCGGTCAAAATATTTTGGATTTTAAGTGCTATGCAACAGTTTTACCACTAAATAGCTATTAACAATGGCTTAAACAATCTTCTGAAGATGTGATTAATAAATTAATCATTAATAAATAATATGGCATTGAAAAATCAAATATTGTGTATCACTTCCCAAAGCAATCTAAAATGTTAAGAACCAGTTATGATTTGTCCATTGTTAGACAATTTACTCTTCTCTGTGTCAGTCTCAGGGGAAAACTGTGGAAGCAATTGCTATTTACTGTTCTTATTCTGACTAATATATGTTTATTCAGTGTGATTTCATGCAAAATGAAGATATCATAAAAAGGACCCTTCTGCTCTAAGAGTCCCTTTTGGAAATCAAGTATACACAGAAAATAGCATTTTTAGACTTGACAAAAAGATGTTTTGTTTTCAAGTTCCACATTATGCAAAAATCACTTACTCAGAGTTATAGAATTTATGGCAATGCTGCCTTAAAATTCCACCCTGACAAGAACTGCCTGAAAAGAAAATTTGTCTGCTATTCACATAGCCATTCTCAGATTGTGCAGCTTCACCATGTGTATCTTCACCATGGCTCTGAGGTACTGATTTCTAGTTACAACAAAAGAGAAAAGGAATAACGAGACTTGATAACACACACTTTTTCTGCTAATTCATTATGTTTAAATATGATACTGTGCTGTACATCTCTCTCAAATTGATAAGTTCTTTGGTCCCACATAGTCAATTGAGTTCTGGCATTCTTTGACTTTCTGATTTTTGCAACAATATCTGTGATTACTTCTTGTCTCTTCCACTGGGCAATACTCACATCTCTCACCCATGTAAGCCATGGACATAGGAGTGACTTTGGCTGCTCTGTTGAATCAGGAAAGCATAGAGATGATATAGTATAACTTTCATTTTACTAAAAGACAAAAAGTAACAACTTACTTAAAGGCAAATGGCTAGCTGATGGGCAAGCCAGAGGTGCTAGCATTTCGATTAGGAACACTCTCACTATTTCGATATGTCAAAAATGGGGGAGGGATTGTCTTTATCAAGAGCTGCTACTCCTGTGGGTACTATTTTAGACTTTCAATAACACTTTTATTACCTTATCTCACCCTTCCAGCATGTCAGATTTGAGCTACTACTCATTTTTCATCCCATAGGCTGGACTCCGCATTTCCAGATGAAGTGTGACTGTGTATTTCAGCAGCATCTGGTCCTCACCTACTGAGATGTCGTACAAACCACTGTTCCTATCATTGATCAGCAGTCACTTCCTGTTCACTGCATCAACCTCCTGCATTGCTTTTATTCATCTCTAACCACTGACCTCTTTTCTTCTTAATTCTCACCTCAGTTTTGACTATTATCTTCACCTTATTGCCACCTTGTAATCTTTCTGATTACATATTATGATAATAGATTATTCAGACCCTAGTATCCAAAATACCAATAAATGGTTTTCAACTCATCAAGGTGATCGTCTTGTTTATGATTATTTTTAATAGGATAACTGGACTTGCTTTCATCAATACATCTTTCTAATCTCTACAATTTTCATCCTGGTAAGCCATATTTTTCCCTTTGGTATCTTCATTTATCTACTTTATAATATAGAGTCAAACCTTTGCCATTCTTTAGAAACATTAGACTAACACAGTACACCATTTAAGATTTTTTTCTCTTTATTTGGTTAATATATGTACCTTCATTATTCATGTTAATTGAAAAGTGTAGTGCTATGTTCTGATCACTCTTATTTATTATTTGCTTTATATTAATATATATTAAGATTGGATATACAAATGAACAATGGTCAGAGTATAAGTAAAAATAGAACTCTGACTCACAACCGGCAACAGTCAGCCAAGGAAGCCAACCTGCTATCTTTGGCAACCACTCTAGGAGGTCAAACAATACCCTCTATAGCTAAGTATAATTAAAATAGCTTGCTTACAGCAGGAAATATGGCAGAGAATTTCCTTTCTGTATTTCTAATGGTCAATTTCCAAAAGTTTTTGAATGATTTTTCCTTGGTAAAGAGGATGTAAAACCTAACTCCTAAGAAGAAAATATCAGACTATTATAACTATATTAGTTTTATATTCTTACACATTATAAAGACCATGTGATTCCATTTTAAACAGTTGGTTCAAAATGACCAGAACTTGATTAATAACTGATGTCTTTCCTATTTTTTTACAGCTGCTTCAACTTGGGACCAACTGGAGAAAGCAAAATACTCACTCTTAATCGCATATGCTTTCTTACTTACTAGCTAGACCGCCTCCAACATTCCCATGACAACAGCCTCCAATAAGCGCATACCAAAAGTTATCTGTTTTTTCTACTACAAAGCGTTTCCAACCCTCAGTCTGCCTAACTCTCTGTAAAATGCAAGTGATGATAACTGTTTCTCTTGATACAGTAAACTCCAAAAAAAATTTAAAAAGCCTTTTCTCACTTGGGCGGTTTTCATCTATTTTCACAGTTAAAGCCATATTGTGGCAAATTTTAGGACAAGAAAAGGGTAAGGATAGTCTTTCTCTGATAGCTCCAAGATGATGCTTTTTGGAGATGCCTTGAAAACCCGGGAAGCTCCCTTTGACTGGAATCACCACTATGGGTATCAGGCATGAATGGTTACACAAGAACTGGCTGATACATAGGTTTCCTTGGTCACAGCTGCTGTCTTACAACCTCTTTGAGACTAATTTGCCTGATCTGAAAAGAGGAAGATAAAGAGATCTATCTCATGAGTCAGTTGATTGTAATAAATAAAGAAATGGATATAAATTAACTACTATGGTGTTTCTAAATGCTCCTTTCTTTTATCCTTTAAGGGCGTCTAACATTCATCATCAAAGAAAAATTGTAGTGGACTATCATTTCCCCAGAGTCGGATTTTCTGGTCGAGGATGAGGTAGGTATATTTATTATTGTTCTCCTTTATTCTTAATGTATTAGATAATTAATTTAATTTCAGTGAATCCTTCTTAATTGCAAGATTCCTGCTTAGATACTGGGGCCATGGAAGAAGACAAGCATGAATCCTGCCATCTTACAACAAAAATTTACGAAAATAAGAGATACACACAAAGTGATATGAACAAATAGAAGGGGTAATTCAAGAAGTTATAAGACTCTTTAGAAGCAATGTTTAGTTCACAATTGCACACTGAAAACATATGTGCAAATATCATTGAAAGAACCCTGTTATAGCTGGAAAATAAAAAGGTCATTACCATGCAAAGAAGTTTAGGAATTGAATAATAACCGAACAATAGAAAATAGATGGGATGAAATGGTAGAATTATCAAAGAAAACAAGACAAAGAGAACAGATACTAATAGATGTTGAGCACCATGTACAAGGTATTTTACATGTATTGTCACTTAATCCTTGATGAAGTAGAGATCATTTTTTTAACTTAGTCTTTTAAATAAGTCAACAATTCCATGATAACGTGTCTGAAGCCACACAGCAGAAGTGGAAAAGCTGTGCTAGTTGACGAAGTAGCTTGGCTCCACAGCCAGTGCTCTTAACCACTGCATTTTCCTGGCTCCTGGGTAAATGAAAGCAAAAATGTAAACAATTATCCCCCATGGAAAAGTGCAGATTTCACAACCTACAAATAAAAGCAGCAGGAGTTTCTTTCAAGGGTTCTGCTTTGGCAATTCAATAGGTAATTGTGCCAGTTAATAAGATTAAATATCTGGAAGACATATGTCAATTTTTGAGGGATATTTTGGTTTCTTGGTTTTGTTTTTGTTTTTAACCAGGAAGAAACTCTAGGATGCTTTAGCCAATGTCTACAAAATTGAAATAATAATAATAATTTAATAATGTGTAGGTTTTAATATAGTAAATATATAATCTTTGAGAAAATTCTACTAATTATCGCTGTTGCATTATTTATAATATGGAAAAGCTTAGTGGAGGGTATTTAAGAAAGTCATTATACCTAGAATAGTTTATAAGAAAAGAAGATACAGGTTTAAAAGTATTATTTATCTTACTGATACCTTTACTGAATAATCTAAATGTTGTTTCTTCTGTAAATTATGTTAGATTCTATTTTATTACCTTTGTGATATACATAGTGTCTGCAATACAGTAACTGCTCAATAGAACACCTAAACAATAAATAAGTTTATTATAATATATATTTATTTAAAGAAGACATAGGTAGAGACCAGAAATTAAATTTTTTAGATACTATTATGTGTATTCTTTCTTTCTCTTTCTTGAAACAGGAGATGAAATACAGCACTGGTTAAAAAAAAACAAAACACAGTGGTTGGACTAGTTTACACTCCCACCAACAATGTAAAAGTGTTCCTATGGCTGGGCTTGGTGGCTCACGCCTGTAATCCCAGCACTTTGGGAGGCCGAGGCGGGTGGATCACGAGGTCAAGAGATCGAGACCCTCCTCATCAACATGGTAAAACCCTGTCTCTACTAAAAATACAAAAAATTAGCTGGGCATGGTGGCGCGTGCCTGTAATCCCAGCTACTCAGGAGGCTGAGGCAGAATTACCTGAACCCAGGAGGCAGAGGTTGTGGTGAGCCTAGATCGCGCCATTGCACTCCAGCCTGGGTAACAAGAGTGAAACTTCGTCTCAAAAAAAAAAAAAAAAAGTATTCCTATTTCTCCACATCCTCTCCAGCATCTGTTGTCTCCAGATTTTTTAATGATCAATCACCATTCTAACTGGTGTGAGGTGGTATCTCAATATGGTTTTGGTTTGCATTTCTCTAATAATCATTAATAATGAGCATTTTTTCACATTTGTTGGCCTCATATATGTCTTCTTTTGTAAAGTGTCTGTTCATATCCTTCTCCCACTTTTGGATGGGTTTGTTTATTTTTTTCTTGTAAAATTGTTTTAGTTCTTTGTAGATTCTGGATATTAGCCCTTGTCAGATGGGTACATTGCAAAAAGTGCTTCCTCAAGGACCTAGAAATAGAAATCTCATTTGACCCAGCAATCCCATTACTGGGTATATACCCAAAGGACTGTAACTCATTCTATTATAAGGTCACATGCACACGTATGTTCATAGTGGCACTGTTTACAATAGCAAAGACCTGGAACCAACCCAAATGCCCATCGACGATAGACTGGACAAGGAAAATGTGGCACATATATACCATGGATTACTATGCAGCCATAAGAAACAATGAGTTCATATCTTTTGTAGGGACATGGATAAATCTGGAAACCATCATTCTCAGCAAACTGACACAAGAACAGAAAATCAAACACTGCATGTTCTCACTCATAGGCAGGTGTCGAACAATGAGAACACATGGACACAGGGAGGGGAGCATCACACACTGGGGTCTATTGTGGGGGGACCAAGGGAGGGACAGCAGGGTGTGGGGGGAGGTCGGGGAGGGATAACATGGGGAGAAACGCCAGATGTAGGTGACGGGGGGATGGAGGCAGCAAACCACATTGCCATGTGTGTACCTATGCAACAATCCTGCATGATCTACACACATACCCCAGAACCTAAAGTACAATTAAAAAAACAACAGCAACAACAACAACAACAAAACAACCAAAAGCACCTCTAGTATCACTAAATGAACGATGCTTCTCAATTATTAGAGAAATATGCACTGTTTAACCTTTATTCAAGTTACAGAAACTTCAGAGTAATACGTTTCAAAACATTTTGAGTAACTTTTGAAGAATTCAAAGGTTTGGGGCTTTGACATCTGTACGTGTATCTGTGTCTGTCTATATGTGTGTGTATATATATGTGTGAGAGACACACACACAAGCACATACTCAAACTTACATCCTCTTGACATTTTCAAATGTCATTTTGTTATATTAAATAATATTATACAATGAAGAGAAATCTGCTCCCCCAACCCCCACCCCAGGAAATGTACTTCAGGGAGCCTGAATAACATTTTGGCTGAAAATACTCAAGATGAGCCAAGTATAATGAAAATAGCTTGAATCTAGCAGGAAGTATGACAGAGAATCCCTTTGCTGTGTTTTCAATGCTCTATTTTATTTAAAATTGACTCTATTTTTTTCCTTGACAGAGAGGATGGAAAACATACCTCCTAAGAAGAAAATATTCAGACTGTTATAACTATATTAATTTGGTTTTCTTATACATTGCGAAGACCATGTGATTAAATTTTAAGCAAACTGAAGGAAAAAAAAAAACAGGTTGTATTAAGATTTTCAGTTTCTTGAGCATTGCATTTATATGGTTTGAACTATCGGAAACATTATGTAAGCATGATTCAAATCACATCCCTTCCCTCCCCCGCCAGGTTTTAGAATATCATAAGTTGATTCTAAAGTATTATTATTATTATTATTATTTTTTGAGACAGAGTTTCGCTCTTGTTACCCAGGCTGGAGTGCAATGGCGCCATCTCGGCTCACCGCAACCTCCGCCTCCTGGGTTCAGGCAATTCTCCTGCCTCAGCCTCCTGAGTAGCTGGGATTACAGGCACGTGCCACCGTGCCCAGCTAATTTTTTGTATTTTTAGTAGAGACGGGGTTTGACCATGTTGACGAGGAGGGTCTTGATCTCTTGACCTTGTGATCCACCCGCCTCGGCCTCCCAAAGTGCTGGGATTACAGGCTTGAGCCACTGCGGCCAGCCGATTCTAAATTATTAAGACATTTAAGAAGTCTTTATTCTTTCCATAAATTTTCACAGGTAATATAATTTTTCCCTGATCCAGATAAAAAGCAAATCAAAGACTTACTGTTTTTATATAATCTTTAGCCAATATCTTTAATTGAGGGAATAATGAAAATATTATACTCAATATTTATGATGATAGAATGAAGTAGTTATGCAAGAAAATAACAAATAAGAGTCTTATCACTCAGGCTGTGTCATAAAGACCACAAAGACTGCCAGTCTGAAGTCTTTGTCCCCATTTATGATAGCTCATTACCTGATGTGGTTCCCAGTTTAGGGAGAAGTGATTTTTAAGACGACTGTAGTTAAAGGGAATATTAAAATGAACTAAATGTTGTCAATGTAGCTACATTTGTCTTGAAGTGGTAAATATTCAAATATCTATATTCTGTTTGTTGCCATCATCTTTGTTTTCTTTAGCCTTTTTTTATATCAAAGTTTCTTTAACTCCACATTACCAATATTTCTCAATTATCTCTAATTTATTATGAAGTGTTTTTATAGGATAATATAAAGCCACCATTTGTATGAGCATTGCTTTTTAAACAAAATATGCTTAT